ATAAAAAAATAATATGATGATCATTGAGCTCTAGTCACAATATGCAAAAGATGGCAACACCCAAATGCCCATCAACTGATGAATGGATAAACAAAATATGGTACATACACAGTGGAATGTTATTCAGCCAGAAAAAGAGAAGAAAGTACTGCTACACGCTACCATATTGGGCCTTGAAAACATTATGCTTAGTGAAAGAAGCCAGACACAAAAGGCTACATGCTGTATGATTACATGTATATGAACTATCCAGAATAGGTCAATTCAGAGACATTGACAGCAAATACATGATTGCCAGGGGCTGGGAGGACTGGGAAATGGGGAATGAGGCTTTCCTTTTGGGGTGACAAAAATGTTCCAGAACTAGATAGAAGTGGTATTCATACAACATTGTGAATTTGCTAAATGTCACTTTTGAGATGGTTAAAATGGCAAATTTTTTATTATGTATATTTTACTACAATAGAAAAACAAAAAACAGAATATGACAAGGCCATGATTCAAACAGTACTCATCAGGGGTATATGTCAATAAATTCCAGTAAATAAAAAATTATGTACATAATAATCCTTACATACAGCTATATTATTTTAGTAATTCTTTTGTAAAAAATCCTATCTAAATATATCTCAAAATACAAAATATTACAGGCTTTATAAAATGTGTGTTACAGCAATTTTCCTACAGTGTTTGTTGGTTTTTTTTTCCCCCGGGAGAGGGTGGGAAGCTGAAGGGTGAGAGGGACAAGAAGTGAAATATCCCTTGAAAAGACAAAAATAAAAAGTGATTAGGGCAGAAGATACTAGAAAGAGGACAGAGAAAAGTTGAATGGGTCTTAAGCTGGTTTCTAAGAGGAAGCTACTAAATTTGTTGAACATACCAATGTATCCTTTTGCTAATTAAAGCACAGTTTTAGCATTTAAATCAAGGTAATAAATTATGAAATATCCCTTGTATAGGCTGAATGATGGTCTCCAAAAAAATACATTGACATCCTAATCCTTGGAACTTGTGAATGCTATCTTCTTTGGTTTGAAAAAAAAAAAAAAAAGGCAGGGGGTACTTTGCAGCTGCGATTAAGTTAAGGATCCTGAATGGGGGAAGATCCTGGATGGAGGAGGAGCCTGCATTATCCAGGTGGGTCCTAAATATCATCACAGGTATCCTTGTAAGAGAAAGACAGAGGGATATTTCACAACAGAAGAGGAGAAGGCAATGTGATCACAGAAGCAGAGGTTATAACGATGCAGCCAGAAGCCTAGGAATATTGGCAGCAACCAGAAGCTGGTAAAGGCAAGAAACGTTTCTCCCCCAAGCCCCCAGAGTGAGTGCAGCCCTACTCACACTTTGATTTCTGCCCAATGCAACTGATTTCATACTTCTGGCCTCCAGAACTGTGAATCAATTTCTGTTGTTTAAATTACCAAGTATGTGGTCATTTGTTATAACAGCCATAAGCAACTAATACACTTAGACAGAATATATCATGAAGTCCAAAAGAGTATCTATCAAACTGGTAACAACAGGTACAACAGAGAAGTGGAATTTTGGGAGGAGGAATCTTCTGTCTTCTGCATTTTACAATGAAATTTTCTATAATGAGCATGTACTGCTTCCATATTTAAAAAGTTTTCAAAGATTAAGAATATACTCAGGCTGCTTGTGATACCTACACCTTTGTAATCCCATAATACTTATTTTAAAAACAAAACTTTGATAATCAACTCCAGGTTAGAAAAGGGAATTTTTAAAATCTGGACTCAATTCCAATGCTATAGGGAAAAAGTTCTATCTATTGTGTTCCTAAGCAAGAAGTACATGCTAAGATTGATTTCAGGAATTGTGCCTTAAATCTGTGTGCAGAAAAGAATTAACACAGCAGATCGGAGATTGCTGTCCTTAGCAAGGCTTGCTTACAAGGTTGGCCCTTGGCTGACTTCTGGGGACTTGGATTTTAGGATGATTACAATCATTAACTGATCAGAGTGGCTCACCATACTTAAACTGTTTGTACAAACACTGTGGTTTATGCTGAATACTTTCTTTCCCGTGGGAGTCTGGAATTTTGGGATATGCTAGGTAGAGGTTATCTATGTGGCCAGCCCCCAACAAAACCCTGGGCATTGAGTCTTCAAGGAGCTTCCCTAGCAGACAACATTTCACATGAGTTGTCACAACACATTGCTGGGAAAATTAGGTGTGTTTTGTGTGACTCTATAGGAGAGGACTCTGGAAGCTTGTACCTGGTTTCCCCTAGACTTTGCCCAATTTGCCTTTCCCCTTTGCTGATTTTCTCTGGTCTCCTTTCACTGTAATAAATCACACTGTGAGAATGACTTTATGCTAAGTCCTGGGAGTCCTCCTAGCAAATAATTAAAAACTGGGGGTCATCTTGGGGGACCCCTGACACAACTTGTCTCTCTGAAAGATGAGATATTGGAGTGAATGACTGAAATATCTGGAAGGCTAAGCTGGGACTCACCATCAGATTCAATTTGTGATTGATGGCCAAGGCTGAGTGTTCCAGGGCCTTGAACACAGAGGTGTAGCAGTCCCTGAGCTTGGTATACTTGCCAACCAGGGCTATTGAGCACGTTTTCTGTAACCTTTCATACCTGGGGAGGAAGACATGCTTACAGGTTATATGCACCTAATGTGACATCACAAACATAATAACGACAGCCACCGTTCTTATTCCAAGACACTTTTTTAAAACCTTCAGAGCAGACGAGCCTCACACTTGATATATTTGACTCAAAATTTCCCCAAAATAACTAAAGTCTGTAAGCTAACACATTTCAAACTCACAAGAAATCCCAAAGCTGGCTTATATAAGCAGGCACAAATTGGGAAACACAGACATAAATTTGAGGTCATTTTTAAGGTGACATTGTATAAGAAAATGCACTCTGAATGTCAATAAGAAACATTCCAATATTCATTTTGTAAGGTGACATTGTATAAGAAAATGCATTCAAAATGTGTACATTAAAAACTGTTACATTCCCAACTGGCCCGCAAAAGCCTGGCTATTCATGATATGCCTCAGGAATGATGCAAAGAGAATGATTTAAAATATTACAAGCCATTTAGATCATTTTTATGAGAAAATTCCATTCTCCAGACACAATCTTTCGTGTTGTTTTGTCAGGAAATCTGTTCAAAGGAGGACATGAAAAAATCTGGTCTGACATGAAGTATATACAAACGTCATCTTGGGGCATTCTGAATGGGTTTTAGGGCTTTGAAGTCAACCTTTCCCAAAGCTTCATAGAACGAAAATGTTACTGTGACAAGGAATATCCCTTCACATTCTTTCCTATCCCTTCATCATCCACAACTACAAAGAGCACAAGACAAAGTACTTGCACACAGGTTGGTGGAGAAAATGCATACAAAGCTAAGAAGGCAAACTGACAGTAAAGGAACTTTCTAGAAAGGTTACTTAAGGACCTAAAAGAAGGCTGAGAACACTTTAATTTACTACTGAAGTTCATGTTTATGTTCCAAGCTTCCCATGCCTCACCCTACTTCTGCATACAGGATGAAAATAACAGAAAGGAAGGTCATATCAAGGACCTTTAAGATTCAAGTATCCAAGACAACATCGTCAGTGGAAGATGCTTTCTGTGCCAAAGCACTACCTTGGTGGTGGCGCTCGCATCACTCTTTAGCACGGCACGTGGGGTGAGCCCTCTCACCTGTTCTCATCTCCATTGCAGAGTGGGACGTCAGCTCTGCCCCCAGAATGAAGCAGAACTGGAGTCAACACTGTCCAGTATTCCTTCCACTCCCCACTTGCTCATTGTCTGGACTTCCCCAGGAAGAGCAGTCACCCAGAAGCCAGTGGGGCAGGTGGTCCACTGGGTCACTGCAGCCCAAGAAGGTTTCACGTCTTCTGCCTCTATCTTCCCTTGAAGATTGTAGTGAATTGGCCCTTCTCCAAAAAATCTGTCTTGTTGAGCTGCCCTTTGAAATCTGATTGACCTTTATTCCTGATTCTACTTGCTCCAGAAATTCTAAAACTTTTTTTTTTTTTTTTTTGAGTGAAATGGCAAGACAACTTTTAATCTGACTTGTTAGTCACCTATGATGGTCAGGGATTTTATCACCATCAAATCATTTTCAATTAATGTTACCAACATCAGTAACCTACATTTAGTGCCAGACATGATGTTAAGTGCCTTCCACGTTTCTCTTGTAAGTGCCACATTTATTCCACTATTATCTCCCTGCTATATATGGACAGGAGAACAGGCCCAGAGAAGTTAAGCAATCTGTCCAAACTCACACAGTTAGTAAGGAGGAGCTGGGGTCTGAATCCATGTTGCTTGATGCCAGAACCTACATTTTGAACTGCTGCACCTCTCCCTCTGACCGAAGCTGCATAAGAAGCCAGGTAGCCTATGACGTTATGGACTCATCTCCTCCAAATTTAGTAAAAAGGAATAGGTGAATGGGGTTTTATTTGATTTCCACATGACTTCAAAACTGGACAAACCTTGTTTAAATTAACCTGGTTCTCTTAAAGCTAAAACTATCATGGATTTTAATAATGATGCTAAATAGTCAATAACTACAGGCATAGTTGAAATATCCCTTTCAAAGGAATGTTCCATAGGAAATGCTATCAAATCTTAAAAAACAGTAAAACTCAATAACAACAACAACAAAAATTCATGGCATTTGAATTGTTTCAAATATTCAGAAAGCAAAAAATAAAACAGTGCCTCGAAAGCCTTCAGGAATCCAATTTCCTTCTATTCACTTTGGGTTAAGGAGAGCAAAATCGAAGGCCCCAGAAATTGGCAAAGAAGCCAGCAAAACAGTATCACAATGTGTTATTGTCAGGTGCTGTCAAGTTCATTCCGATTCATAGCGAGCCCATGTGATGGTGCAGAACTGCCCCGTAGGCAGTGGTGTCACTAGGGGGTGCAGACCACACCGGGTGACACTGTCAGAGAGGGTGATACCAAAATGACTGTCTATAAAATTTTTATGCATTGTTTCAGCAGTAATTTATTATTTTCTATTAAAATATCCCTGAAGTTAGTTATAACAAAAAAAGAACTATTTTTTTTTTTGTAAGCCCAGCTTACATGTTACTAATATACCTACAAGGCTAAAATCCTATGTGAATTTACTTTTTGAACCTTCTAATGCACTCAGGTCATTATTACCCAATTACAGTGACACTCCAAGTCATGTGGTTTTGTGGCAACAAGCACACGCTGTTGATTTTGATGCTGCCAATGTTTTTGTAGTGGCTGATTTTGTCAAATTACCAGATGTTTTAGCTACATTATTGTGGTAATTAGTGTTTGTGAACCTGTATCAATAATATTTTTGAGAATGAAGTAGTGATTAAAGAGAGTAATCAAAAAAGGCTTCTGCTCAGTTACTAATAATGTTGTAACTAAGAATGTTGCAAATCAATTTAGAAAGATTATACAAAATAATTTTGTTGTTAGCATTCATATAATTTAAGAAATAGCCCATTTAAACAATTTACAACTATATTTATTACATATTATTCTATGATTAAAATTGATAGTTAACATTACTAAGGATTCTGTATGGTTTGGTACCGGAGAAGGGCCATGAAGGAAAGGGGAGATGTTACCATGAGTTATTGCACTGGGTGACACCAATCACAGTGATGCCACTGCCCACAGGTTTCCTAGGCTGTGATCTTCACAGGAGTAGGCCATCAGGTCTTACTCCCATGGAGCTGCTGGGTAGATTCCAACTGCCAACCTTTTGGTTAACAGCCAAGTGCTTAACCATTGTGCCACCAGGGCTCCTCGAAGAATTGGCTTTGGAACCATGTAAATATATAGCCAGATATAACCAGACCATAACACAAAGCTGCATTTGACCAGATACTCTTTAAGTAAGTCTTAATCACACTCCCTGGGAGGTCTGGTGATGTAGTGACTAAGGCACTTGACTGCTAACCAAAAGCTTGGCAGTTCAAATCCATCAGCCACTCCTCGGAAGGCTGGGCAATCTACTTCCATAGAGATACTGCCTCGGAAACCCAAGGAGGGGTCACTATGAGTCGGAGACAACTCAACGGCACATAACAACAACAATCTTACTCCCTACCCCATCCCAAACCCAAGAATTATTAAAGATCACATTACTAATTCCCGTCACATACCTGTCAGCCATATTTCTCCACTTGAAAAGTAAATTATTTGCAGAATCAGTAATAGGCAGATTCAACCTCTCTTTAAAATATTTAACGATGCCTTGTTCATCCAAAAGCAGAGGCACTCGGTATGTGGAAGAAACATCATGGATGCATATTACCTGATAAATTATTATAAAACAACATGTTGAAATGGAATAGACTCTAATCCGGCACATATTAATATACTTCACCTCAATAATGAAACAAAACTCAAGAGGGACATGGCTGTTCATGTAACTGGATATAAGAAAGCCAAGAACCATGCAACCTAAATAAGAATCAGAATTAATACAAAATTGTTGTTGCTATTAGCTGCTATCAAGTCCACCCCCACTTCATTGCACAACAGAACAAAATGCTGCTCAGTCCTGCACCATTGCCATGATGGGTTGTAGATTGGACCATGGGGATCCATGGGGTTTTCGTTGGCATTTTTCAGAAGTAGATCACTGGAAAGTGTTCCGCATCAAAGCAACACACCAAGCCTCCATTGACACATACATGTGATGGTCGTGCAGGAGGTACATTGGCCAGGAATCAAACCCAGGTCTTCCACATGGAAGACATGAATTCTACCATTGAATCATCACTGTCCCCTTAACATACAGTTAGTGTAACTTTATTACAAAGCTCTTTAATTCATTATTCTATCACTGGAACCATGGCTGTTTTATGTGTCAGTATCCAAGACCCATCGTTCAAGGCACTGTGTTCTAAGTCTAGGTTAAAGCAGTAGCAGTGAGTGCAGCACCCAGTCTTCTCTATGTGAGAATGTGGTTTGTTGGTCCAAATGTTTGCTGTTTTTGCTGCTGTAGTTGTTTTTTCTGAGGCTTCGTTCCCTAATCCCTTCTTTTTGCTAAATGTACATGCACGTATTTATCATAATAAAATTAATAACAGCTGCAGTGCAGAAGATCCTGAATAGAGTGGGAGAAAAATATGGAGCAAAACTCACAATCATAAAAAAGACAAGGCTTCCTGGTCTGATAGACATTGGTGAAATCGTGGAGACTATGGCCCCCAGTCACCCTTCAGGCCTGGAACTGAACTCACTCCCATGGCTTCTAGCCAAATAATAGGCATATAAGGTGAACATCTACACCAGGTAGGTACACTCCTTAGGACAATCAACCATGGGAGATCAGAAGGGCAGGATTTTCACCGGGAGATAGCTCAGAGGGCAGGAATGCATAGTAAAGAAGGCCACGGGGAAACATAACCACAGGGAGGAAGAGGGAAGAGAGCTGTTAAATTAGGGGGATTGCAATCAATATCATGAAACAAAATGTGTACAAACTGCTTTTTAGAAAATGAATTTCCTCTGTGAACTTTCACTCAATCACAAAAAAAAAAAAAAAGAAACAGAATATTGGCAATCACTTTGAAACTCCAAAAAATAAAAATTAGTAACAGCTGTTAGGACCAAAACCAAACCAAACCCATTGTCATTGAGTTGATTCTGATCCAAGTGACCCTACAGGACAAAGTAGAAATGTCCCATAGGGTTTCCAAGGCTATCAATCTTTAGAGAAGCAGACTGCCACATCTTTCCCCCGCACAGCGGCTGGTGGGTTCAAACCACTGAACTTTTTGGTTAACAGCTGAGCAATTTAACCACTGCACCATATGAGGGCTCCTGGTTAGAGACCAGTTCCCTTAAACACCAAGCTGTGCCTGGCTGTGGTTTTTTCTCAAACTTACCCTATGGGCTCTCACTACCCTCTCAAATACAACCAAGTTATGACTTGCAGGCAGTTAAAGACCTGCCACATCCTAAATAAATGCTGTTAAAAAAAAAAAAAAAAAAAAAAAAAACCTCTGCCACTGAGTCGATTCCGACTCATAATAAACGTCATTGGGTTTCCAAGGCAGTAAATCTCTATGGAAGTAGATTGACCAGTCTTGCTTCTGCAGAGTGGCTAGTGAGTTTGAACCAACAGCCTTCTGGTTAGCAGTCAAGTGCTTTAGCCACTATGCTACCAGAGCTCCAATAAATGCTGTAAGTTCTCCCAATTGAACAGATTCAGCCTTCTGAAATCCATAGCTATCAAATCAAAGGTTCCTACACTGCTCATATATTGCAAATGTGACACTCAGAACATTCATGCCTCATTTCTGCATTCACCATTGCAATTCAAATGCCCAGATGTCACTGACATGAGGCTCCATCCCAATTCCTAATGAAAATTCTCCCAGTTTATGGAAACTTCTGGATGCCTACAACGCCCACAAGTAGAAATCCTAAACACATAGAGCAGAGCTATTTACTCACTTATCCTCCAGGCCAGAGAGAGATTTTCAAATATCATGGTAATACAGCATATGCACAGCGATTCCCCCTCTTCCTACTTTATCCCTCTTCAGGGTCCAGATGAGAATTTTAAGCACATTCACCACTAAGAATGAAAAGGCTAGGACTAAGAATAACTCATGTCAGAAGATAACATGCAATGAAAAATGGCTAATATGATGGTCTGTGGATGACAAGATATGTCATCAATGTACATGTAAAAGTTGTTGAGTAACAAATTTTTTATCTATATTGTTTTTACCACAATTTTAGAAAAGTAGTCTTGAGACCAGAAGAACTAGATGGTGCCCAGCGACCACTACCAACCACTCTGACCGGGGACACGATAGATGATCCCAGATAGAATGGGAGAAAAATGTAGAACAAAATTCATATTCTTAAAAAAGGCCAGACTTACTGGATGAGTAGAGACTAGAGGAACCCTGAGACTATCACCCTGAGATACATTCTACGCTTGGAACTGAAACCACATCCAGAGATCACCTTTCAGCCAAATAACAGATTGGATCATAAAATAAACAATATCATCAGTGAGTACTGAACTCTTTTAAAAAATCATTTACAGGACTTCTGGCCAAAATGATGGCTTAGTTGGGCACATCATGCCGTCACTCTACAGCAAACATCCAAAACCTTAAGTGAAACAGATATAGAAAACAATCCTGGAACCCTGTGCATCAGATGAAAGGATAAAGAACTAGATAGAACACTGATTGGAAGAAGAAACTGACTAAAAACAGTGAATGAAAAGAAATGGAGTGGAGGGACCCTGCCAGATAGCCCAGCATAGCATGGTCATCTTGACACAGAGACTGCAGCAATCCCGGGTGAGGAGCATAGAAGCCAACTTCACAGAACTCCCAACAGGACATAGAGTAACTGTGTAGACACACTTGCAGTGAAATAAGGTCCCAACTGCTGGATGCAGCCAACAAGAACAACCCAGGCACCTTCACCAGTGACCAGAAGAGGATGAGCCTCCTCCCCCCACCCTCCTTGTGATTAGTGATACAAACCACCCCTCTCATCCCTGCAGCCCTGATCACCAGGAACTACAGTATAGGTTCGCTCCCTTTCCTCTCAACCCAATCCCAATATCAACCCTCCCCCTCCCTCTGCCTAACAATCCCACTGATGATTGGCAGGCAGCTCCAGCATGGCATAGGCCATTCACCCCACCCCTCCTGCCTGCTGACCCAGCTGAATGGCAACAAGTTGCCCAAGTGTGACACTAGCTGTTTGCCCAGCCCCTCCCACCCACCAACACAGCTGAGTTGTAGTAGACTGCTTCAGTACAGCATTGGCTACTCATCCCATCCCTCCTGCCTGCCAACTCAGCCAAGTTCCCTCCTTCTTCCCCCATCCGGTGAGAGGCAGCAACAGCATGACCACACATACACACAACTGTCACTCCCTCCCCTTCCCCTGCACATTGCTCACACCTCCCCCTCTACCTGGCAAGGGGTGGCAAGTGTGCAACCATGTATGCTGGCCCACCATTCACACCCCACATACAGTGTGCAAAAGGTGGCAGCAGCACAACTGTGCATACACCAACCCACCATTCACTTCTCCCATCTAACAGGTAACCATACCCTCACTAGTAAGCCCCATCTGCCATACCTGCCTCGCCACCCACTCAGTGAGTGCCACCATTTGTTCCTGCACCCCTAGAATGATGACAGACAGTGGCCAATACCCACCTAACCTGCCCACAGCTGCCCCTCAAGACTAGAGAACAGAGACACGTGCTCACACACCCAGCCACTACTCCACCCACCCAGAGACAGATGGCAAGCACTCCACTGTGGCCAAAATAACAACCAGAGTAGCACACCCATTCTGCCTCCCTGGATACATCAAAACAAAACACAACAAAAAATCAGGATGCAGTGAACAAACATACAATTAGTAAATAGATATAATAACACCTTAATGCCTCAGAAACAATTGTTGTTTCTGTTATGCGCCGCCGAGTTGGATCTGACTCATAGCAAACCCTCCTTGGGTTTCTGAGGCAGTATTACTACGGAAGTAGATTGCCCCATCTTCCTTCTGAGGAGTGGCTGGTGGGTTTGAACCACCAGCCTTCTGGTTAGCA